TTTGTAAAAAAAAATATCAGAGAAAAAGTTCGAAGTTTCACCTTTCAAGTGTAAGCACGAAAGAGACTCGTATGATTAATTTTTTTCTTCTACAAGATGCCGTTAAACATGTTGTGTGGCACACGAAACCTCAGTGAAAAGTCACCGGCATTTTTTTTTTCATTTGTAATATGGTCCACAGGTGAACTTAGCTATAAGTATGTCAAAGATTACTTGGAAAAAAAGCTGTTAGCGCAATCCCTTGCGGGATTAAAAATGTGAAACACGATGGACCTATTGTTACTAATTAAATGGGCATCATTTTGTTCCATTTCTTCAAGATAGATTTGTAGCTTACCGTTTATTTGATGTTTCAAAACTACAATTTCTCTGTCACCGTCTGTAATGGTCTCTGGCAGTTCTCTGTCACGGTCTGTGATGGGTACTAGGGTTTCTCTGTCACGGTCTGTGACGGGTCCGAAGGTTCTCTGCCACGGTCTGTGATGGGTACTAGGGTTTCTCTGTCACGGCCTGTGATGGGTATTTGGTTGTCGACCTTAGAATATGTCCTATCTCTCATTGATTGCAATCAGCTTTTCCCCCCTTGATAAATTCGAGCATCCGACCCGTTCATCTTCAATATCTGACGGGCATCATGACCGTAGACCATAATACAATGATAGGCGGATGACACTTTTGATTTCCCAAATAACAGAATTACGCTCGTCCATTTTGTGGAAGATTTGCAATCTATCGAGTACGAGTGGCTTGACTAGTCTAAAGTATCATCTGGGCACGTAAAGACTAGTTCTATCTTAGGATGCTCTCTCTATAGCTGTATATAAAGTAATCGAAAATAAATAGCTGACAGAAAGATAAATAGTACATTTGTGCAGTCGTGTTTTAATGTATCATATTATGTTTTGCCGTTGGTTATGTGAAAAAAGCTAAAGAATATCGAAGAATATAAGAATACCAATAAGATTCAAATATGATTTTTTTTCTTGTAACAAGAGACACGTCAATTCATGTAATTTTATTTTCATTGATATTCTACTGTCGAAGTTTTATAGAAATTAAAAATATTTAAAAAAAAAGTGAATACATCAGTAATACAAAATATACTAACTATTTAAATCAGAACATTTATGTTGAAATACTTCTTTAAATCCAAATAAAAAAATCTTCTCATTCGTCTTTTGACTAAGTGTGGGACTTTAACTTTGAACTTCTTGGAGTTAAAGTGTTAAAATCCCATTCCAAATTTTAAATTTAATGTAAAAGTAAAATCAAAGACTCGCCCCACTGTATATTATCTTTTAGAATTTAAAAAAAAATAAATCTTTCAAACCTCTTTCACAGGCACGCTCAAACACTGTGCAATCATGGATTTAGATATTTATCAGCATGAACTTATATTTAAAAGCCATAAAGGACGGAGGACGTTTTTCTGGGATTTTGGCCCACTGTGAAAATAAAGGTTGTTCCGAGTGAAACTTTCAGCAAATACTCAGCTATATATCAGTAGCCACCACACAAAATTTCAACTTGCTCCGTTGAACTTTTCCTTTACTTTCACCACACCCTAAATGTACATATAAATACCCTATAGGGGTTACCTTGTGAATCCTCGTTCTCGACTATACGATTCAGAACTGGAGTGGTTTTTCTAGGATCACTAGGAATAAGTGAGGGCTACAATATTGCAAGGACATGAGATCCAGAAAAAAACTGTATTTGTATCCATTTGAAGTACACAGTGCCAAAAATCCTTGAAAAATCCCTTTAGAGCTAACCTTGTTTACCTTCGTTCTCCAGTATACGATTCAGAACCAGAGGGATTTGTCTAGGATGGCTAATAATCAGACAGGACTACGGTATCCCATACACTTCAACCTGAATAAAAACTGCCGGAATAACACTTTGGTGTACAGAAGGTTCAAAAGCAGTAGTCCAAATTATGATGGAGGGAATGTCGGATACGTTTTTCTCTTAATATTGGAGTCACGCTTCTGAATACTTGTGTACTATCCGTGCGAATATTAAGAACGTTCGACACTGTATATCACTAACTAGGAGAGCTATGTAGATGTCAACTGTGCAATGCGGGATGTGTTAAGTTATCAATAAGTTGGGTTCGTTAGTGTCATCGAGTGATTATCAATCGTAGTAGAGTATGTGGGAGTTGAGATATCTAATTCGTTTATCTGGTATGGAACTTAAGATGTGCTTTTATCAAGCCACTTTCTAGATAACATTTCTTTAGATCGTGATCTAGCTGGTGAATGGAGGGATAAGAGAAGATGACTAGGAACAACAATACGTGGTTCCGCTGTCTGGATGGCAGTGGATCAGTGGGCAGGTCGTATTCTTCACTAGGGCAACATTAATTCGACACCCATACCCATCCGTAAGGAACTTTTTCATGAATATCCAACGCTCTGCACTCTATTGCCATACCAGGACCGCTTCTGCTACATCTTGCATGTGTGGCAGATTGTAGCCGCGACTGATTCTCACTGACTCTAGCAACACAACTTTTGGTGCAAATCGTATATTGGAGAAATAAGGTGAACAAGGTTGCCTCTATGCGGCTTTTTCATGGATTTTTGGCACTGTGTGCTTCAAATCGATACTAAGGCAGGTTTTTTGTGGACCTCATCTCCTTGCAATATTGTAGCTATCACTTATTCCTAGTGACCCTAAAAAAATCACTCCGGTTCTGAATTGTATAGTCGAGAACGAAGGTCAACAAAGTTACCTCTACAGGGATTTTTCAAGGATTTTTGGCACTGTGTACTTCAAATGGATACGAAGACAGTTTTTTTCTGGACCTTATGTCCTTGCAATATTGTAGCCCTTACTTATTCCTAGTGATCCTAGAAAAATCACTCCAGTTCTGAATCGTATAGTCGAGAACGAGGGTTCACAAGATAACCCCTCCTATAGGGTATTTATATGTACATTTAGGGTGTGGTGAAAGTAAAGGAAAAGTTCAACGGAGCAAGTTGAAATTTTGTGTGGTGGCTACTGGTATATAGCTGAGTATTTGCTGAAAGTTTCACTCGGAACAACCTTTATTTTCACCGTGGGCCAAAATCCCAGGAAAACGTCCCCCGTCCTTTCCCAATTGAGAAAAAAATCTCTATTTTCTCTATTAAAATCGAATGAAATATTGGAATTTCTGAGCTTTGTTAGAGAAATGCTTGAATATGTCATACGACACAGATTGATATGCTTCTTCAAATGGGGCTACTCTCAAACTAGCTCATGGCACTGATTCGATTACTTTGTCTCATCTACTGAAAACATAACTTCTAGAAATGTTAGACATTACCAACAAAGCATATTAGATACTGGGACACATACAATCGCATCAAAAGCAAGATCATGATCGATAATATTTTTGTTAAAAAAATGCTCGGTTATAGTGCATATCTTTCTTTAGAAAATCGAAGTTTGTTGAAATGTTCTGCAGTTGAAGGCATTCCAAAATGAGTATTTGTGAAAGACGCGATCACGCACGATCACTGCCAACGTGGGAATCGATACAACAGTATGTATTTTCTCGATTTTTATCACTATAATTATATTTTTCAATTGCTCAACCACATGCACAGTCGAATTATAGAGAGATAGACATCGAGAAAATACCTTCATGCTATTTTTCTTAAGCTACAATATGAAAGCTTAATATTTTGCATATCTACCTAAATCGAGCAGACGACCTACTCGCTATCACAAGTTATGCATGAGCATGGGTGATGACTTCTCTATCTACATATAAGACGCCTTTACTTATCGAGAGTATGTAATAATCTAAGTGATGACGGAACCAAGGAAAATGGCGACACGAGGAAACATAGTTGAACTACCTATTATCGAACATTAATTTCAGCGAAAGCATATTAAAATTGACAATTAAAATTTTTTGCATTATGCTTATGTAATTTTTGTTCATCGTTTCAATGGAATTCATACTCACTTAGAATCAGTAGCTATCCGAACATTGATAGAATAGGAGAAAATATAACAATGAATATGAAAACTATCAATTCTCAGTCATCAATGTCTAACTAGCAAAGAAAAAATGAAATGAAAAATGAGTGTTGCTTTCCTTTATTTCTTCCCCCTTCATGAATGAAATTAGTATATTTGTCAGACAGTGCAAATATTGGAATAAAAATTGAAAGAAGTAAAACACACGAAGGAAAGAAAAAATAAAAATTTGATATCAACATTGTTTGTTGCCAAAAAATATAGACACTAAATCGACAAAGATTGTTATTTTACATCGTAGCTTCTCACATATTTTTTATTTTTTTCCATCGCATAAATTAAGGAAGAAACAACCGAAAAACGGAGTTTTTTTTAATGGTTTGATAATTCTGGAAAAGGAGGGGGCCAATAAGAGGCAAAATCGGCCCCCTGTCGGAATTCGACGTTGTCCTTCCGATTTGATTATTTTCGCTGTCAGAAGTTTATTTCTATCGAAATCAGGCAATTTGATGCATTCCACATTGCACGCAACTCGATTTCGTTTCCTCTATTATCTCTATGTTATATGACTACGGTAGATGGTAGTCTAGTGGTTATTTCTTTACTAGTTCATTCTTATGTTTAGTCGATTTATACATCAAACCGAGGGTGTGGGTGTGGGTGTGGGTGTGGGTGTGGGGTGTGGGTGTGGGGTGTGGGTGTGGGGTGTGGGTGTGGAATGAATTAAAAACATGATCCACACCCACACCCACACCCACACTCACACTCACACACACACCCCACATCCACACCCCACACCCACACCCCACACCCACACCCACACCCACACACCC